AGGGACTGACCCAACCGCTTGAAGCTAATCGTTTTCTCAATTTCCTTTTAACCTGTTATAACCATAGGTCATAGACGTTGAAATATTATTTAATTTGTTAATTATTGATCAATACTAAAATTTTGCCCTTTTAACCGTGTTTTAAACTATTAAATGTAACCTTAAGAAGGGACCTCGTGAAGCCCTCGCCGGAAGAGCTATCCCCAACCGCTTGGAGCCAATCGATTTCTCAATTACTTTTAACCTGTTATTCCTTTTTTTAAACTGATAAAAAATATATTTTATTTTTAAAGTTACATCGTATGATTGCAGTGGCGCAGAGCAACCTCTCTTCGCTGGTAGGGCTCTCCCCAACCCTAAGGTAGCGCACTTTGAGTCACTGCAACCTACATGTTAATAATAATAAGGGTAGTCTCACAATAATCTAATGTCGATATTGATCCCTATTACAAGTGGGGTTTTTTTGTTTGTTTTTTTGTTTTTGTTTTTATGTTAAACAAACTATTTTAAGTTCTAGGAAACAGCCAACTGTAAGTATTTTATATGTACCAATGGAATTGATTTATATTTTGTACAAGTATTTTATATGTATTAATGAACATAAATGTAATTGTGATATGTGACACTTAAATAAACAAATTGAACTTGAACTTGTATATTACTTTTTTGGTATGTGTAAAATAGCTCAAATTTAGCACTGTCAAGGCATACTTGAACATTGTATCTACTTTACAAAAGTCAGAAAATTTACCAGATCTAACTGCAAACTGGCATATTAAGCATATGTTGCCAGGTGTTGAACTCGGCACCGCACAGACCTGCAAAGCCCCAGTAACCCCCCGTTTGTTACTATGAATCCATGGTTTGTTAAATTTTACTTGTCCAGATACCCGTGTTTTCTGGGCTGCCTGTCTGGTAGGATCTTTTGGTGAAGGATACTTTTGACCCTCGGTTTTACTTGCAATGCCTCGATTGTTACCTTGTTCATGGGGAATGTTGTTGTCGTTAAAAGTAGTGAAAACTTTGCAACTTAGAGCAGTTCCTATTGAAATTGTTTTCCCCCGCTTACATTTTGGGCACCTGCTCTGCCCTTGTGTCCCGCTGCAGCAGCTTTAAGTCACAGAGGGTTTGACCCAGCCCCTTTTCCTTTTGTCTTCTGGTAAGGGCCTTACTTACACTGGGTTTGTTAAGGCTTTTCGTTTGGTTTTGAAGAAGCTGGATTATAATGCAGCTTCCTTTGGTGGTCATTCCTGCAGCCGAGGGGCAGCTACCTGGGCTAGCTCATGTGGTGTACCGGACAATGATATAAAGATTCTGGGCCTTTTGTCCATTGATTGCTATAGAAGCAAACAAATTACTGCTATATCATCTTTATTTCCTCCAAATTGGAGAGCATGATACAATGATAGTACATGAATAATACATAATTTACAAAATGACAACAATCGTGACGTTCATACAAGTTCACAAACGTATATACATATTGTTAAATATCAGTGATGTAATACTGGTTTATGTATTTGTAAGACATTATTATAATAATTATTATTATGTATATAAGTCAAACATTCCTTTTATCGCATATACGGATTCTAGTTTAAATTCTTCAAAAATCAATTTCATTTAAATCATAGGTCATTGGGCCTCCTAATAAAATGTGAATTAATGAATAGTCAGGCAGTGAATGCAGATATGAACTGAGTTCAATACTTGAAATGCAGGCAATTATACAACATAAATTGTCACGAAGATTTTCTGTTACAGAACAATGCAGAATCACATGAGATACAAAATCTGTGTAGAAATAGCCACAATGATGACATAAAAGTTGTATGTCACTTACACGTATAGATACAATTAATTTCATTATATATCCGATATTGTCAAGAAAATTTGGTTGACGCCAGGCTAATTTCAATAAATTATGAGGTTTTAAACAGTCATGTAGCAATAAAAATCGTGTAAAGTCTGTGTCATTAGACATTCTTTGTTTCTATGTATTAGTTTCATATTTTTTTACGGATTTATAAATCAATGACTTCCAATACATTTTATTTGGAAAAACACCATCATCTAGAAATTGTATAATGTTTCATAAAGACTATACTTCTTTAGTCCTCTGACAATGTCTGGTATGTAACCTTTTTGACTATAATTATTAACTGTATACATAAAATACCTCAAAATGAATACTCTGCGGATTAAGTTACTTCGTTTCATTCTGCTGATCCTGCCTAAAAACAAAAGCTTTTTGATATCGATATACGCCTATATAGAAAACCATCCGATTAAAGAAGTACACATATCAGTTATTGTTCTTTTTCCGAAACCTTGGATCGACTTAACAATAAAATGTTGGGCTCTCTCTAACATCAATAACTCAGTATTTGAAAGTACCCAGAGTTCACAACCGTAAAGCGCAGACGGATAGACTTTAATTTTTACAATTTTAGCAACAGTTAATGGGTTTAGTGCGCATTGATGTGCCTCAGAACGTAAAAGGGCCATAGTACCAATTTTTTATTTTTTTACACGCTTAATTGTTTTGTTCTTTCAATGGAATTACTGCTAACTGTTATGCATTTGTTTTGTTCACCCCTTCCTCGTTAACCTGTACTTCAATCTACCTACCATTTTTAGGATGTCCTTAATTATAGTGTCGAAAACTTTGGGTTTGAACCTATCTTATGACATTTTGCAACATTGTTTAATTTACCTTATTGTGACAATACTATTACTTGTAGTAGTCTAGGTCTAGTACCTTTAAGTGATTTACTTGTAATATGGAAAGTGGTGTACATTAAAGCCATCAATTTATTCTTATCGTTTGTACTTATTGTAGATTGTGTATAAAAGTATCCCGAAACCGAGCCCCTGTTGTAAAAGTCTTCACTGTGTAAATTTAGACAAGTGGGAATAGATATTCGTTCCTATATCCTATTGTATGTCGTAGAAACTTATCTGTATTCACGTTAAATATCCATATTCTAGGCCAGAAGTCATATCTTCGCGGCTAGTGACATGTAAGCGGTATGCTGGTCATTTAAGTTGTGCGTTTTCCCTCGAAGCTAGAAGGCGACCTTAATCCTATGTACCCTGCCTCACTACTCCCCCCTTTTTAAATGTGTTTGCCCAGGTTCTAACTCCCTGTCACCACAGAGAGGGCCACGGACACCATTTGTAACAGGAAAGAGAATAGTGTGCTTCCACCGGGGATCGAACCCTCGATCTCCAGGTTCCTAGTCGGACGCTCTACCACTGAGCTAAAGGGAAATTCCCCCTAGCTCGAAGCTAGAAGGCGACCTTAATCGATTCATTGGTCCATTGATTGTGACACCGTTGTAAGCGTCAGTCGCTTCTTGAGGCGCTTCTTAATTCTGTCCACTTCACTTCCGGTTGCATTAGGAGGTATTGAAGAAGACTTGTTTCTCAATAACTAGCGAAAATTATTTACAGGTGCAGTGGGTGATAACAAGGGTAGTATAATAATTTCATATAAGAAAAGGGTATTCAGTTATAAAAAAGGACTGACAGGCCTGTATAGACCTGGCAATGATACCTGTACTTAGAAGTATAGATATTTAAAGGGTTTCATGAGTTAAAAAAAGTACTGAATTTGGATCGGACATTTGGGAAGTTCTATGTGTTAACCAAGCTAATTAGTAGAAGCTTGGTTCGAACTTGATGTGGTGATTTATCCAGTGTTTGTTTAACCTGGTCTTAAAATAAAACAGAGATGGGGCATTAACCACTTGATCAGAGAGACCATTCCATTCATTTACAATTCTAAATTTGAACGAATGGGCACGCAGATTACTTCTACACCTCAGTTTTTCAAGTTTCTGGTTGTGACCTCTGGTTGTTCTTGTTGCATTGATTTTTAGAAAGTCATCTTTGATATTATCTAATCCATTTGTTATTTTAAAGGTTTGCACCATATCTGACCTGAGTCTCCTGTACTCCATTGTTGGTAGCCCAAGAGCCTTGAGTCTTTCAGGATAGGATAAGTCTTTGATACCAGGGACCAGTTTGGTGGCTCTTCTTTGCACATTTTCTATAGATATCTTATCCTTTATAAGCATGGGTGCCCAAACTACAACAGCGGTCTCTAGATATGGTCTTACAAGGGATTTGTATAGGGTTATGAACATTTCTTTATTTACACAGCTAAAGGTCCAAAAGATCATTCCTACATTTCTGTTTGATTTTGTTACTGACAGGTTTACATGTTCACTAAACTTAAGATTAGTGTCAATAGTCACCCCTAGATCCCTTTCACTAGCAACAGATTGGAGTTTGTGAACTTCCCCCTGTTTGATGATGCTGTATGAAGTGTCACATTTTAAAGCTCCTTGGTGTAATTTTAGGTGCTTACACTTGTCAGAGTTTAGCTCCATCATCCATGTTCTCGTCCAGTTGTTTAAACGGTGTAGATCCTCTTGAAGATGTTGCCCCTGATCTCCTGGATCCATTGCACGATATATCTTTGTATCATCTGCAAACATTTTGGTCAGGTTATGAATGACCTCAGGTAGGTCATTAACGTAGATGAGGAATAGGACTGGTCCCAGCACACTACCCTGGGGGACTCCACTTGTGACTTGACATGTACTTGATTCACAACCGTTGATAACAACTTTTTGTTCCATATCATTCAGGAAGTCAGCAATCCAGCCCAGTATGTCCCCCTTAATGCCATATCCCTTGACTTTGTGTAGTAGTCTCCTGTGGGGTACTTTATCAAAGGCCTTTTTGTAGTCCAAATAAATGACATCCACTTGCTTGTTTTGGTCAATAGCTTCTGTCCAGTCGTCAATTGATTCCAATAATTGTGTGGTGCAGGACATGCCACTTCTAAAACCGTGCTGCTCTTTAGAGAAAAGTTTGTTGTTGTCCATGTGTCCCATTATTTCATCTCTTATAATTCGCTGGAGTAGTTTGCCCACAATTGATGCAATGCTAATGGGCCTATAGTTCCCTGGATCTTTCTTGTTCCCTTTTTAAAAAATTGGTGTGACATTAGCTTGTTTCCAGGATTTCAGAAGACAATTGTCTGCTACTGATTTTTCAAAGATGTATTTAAGTGGGATCTTGATTTGGTCTGCGGTCTCCTTTAGGAATTTGGGATGTATGTTGTCAGGACCAGCCGCTTTGTTTACTTTTAGCCTGCCACTAGCTTTGAATATTTTTTCCTCTGATATCTCAATCCTGCTTATTTCCCTATTAGGGGAGTGATCTTGGAATTGGGGAAGTGGTTCTTGCCCATCATCTACGAAAACACTAGCGTAGTGGTTATTTAGGACTTCGGCCTTTTCTAGGTCATTCTTGGTGAGTTCTCCATTCCCTTTGTCCAGTTGAGTTAACTTCTCTTTTGTCTTGACCTTGTTGCGGACATATTTCCAAAATAGTTTCGGTTCAATTCTTATTTTATTAGCTAGTAATTCCTCATGGTTGTAGGTGTTGTTTCGAATAGCCCTTGTTGCTAAATTCCTTGCTTTTTGGTAGGATGTGAAGTTTGAAGCAGTTTTACAGTGTATATATTTTTTCCATTTTCTCCTTTTTATCTTGACTGCTTCAAGAGTATTCCTGTCGAGAACATGGTGGTCCTTTCCTTTTCCCGTTCGTCCTTTACTCACTGGTATATTTTGCTTAACAACTTTAGATATTATTTCAGTAAAGAATTCCCAGAATTCGGTAAGATCCATAATATTCATGACACCCCACTCTACTTTTGAAAGCTCCTCCCTAATTATTGCATAGTCAGCTTTAAAATATTTTAGTCTTGGTTTTTCTCCAACTTTGTCTTCGGTGTAACATACAAATTTAAAAACTAACGATAGATGGTCACTAGGTCCAATACTGCTTTTATATTCCAGACTGTCAATCATATTCTCTTCATTTGTTAGAATGAGGTCTAGAACTGATGGAATGTTCCCCTCCCTGAGTCTTGTAGGATGCAACACATGTTGATATAAAAAGAAATCATGGGTTAGTTCTAGGAATTTTGAAGATACATGTTGTTCGTTGACATCAGTAGTATTTTCTTTCCAGTTGATTTCCTTCAAGTTAAATTCTCCCAAGATAAGAAGGTGAGAATGAGAGGTTGAACTAGCCTTTCCAAACAGTTCACTGAGCTGAGTGAAGTTCTCTCCATCACAGTTGGGACTCCTATACACGCAGCCCAATAGAAGGGAATCAGATTTGTTGAGTGTTATTTTACACCATACAGCTTCTTGATAGTTTAACCCGTCATCCAAACTGATTACGTCTAAATTGTCCCTTATATAGATGGCTACACCTCTGCGGAAATCTTTATCTTTGTTGTTGAACTGATTGTATCCTTCTAGATTTAAATTTCTTGCCCAAGGATCGAATAGAGTGTTTTTTGGGAGGATCTCAGTTAATGCAATAATGTCTGGCTTTGATTCTTCAACAATAAGTTTTAGTTCTTCCATCTTTGGGACAGTCAGTGTGTCCACTTTAGTGTAAAAAACATTTAGGCCATCTGTGTTAAAAACTTTAAAACCAACATCCTATGGGTTTGAAGAGTTGTGCGAGTGACTGGTTTCGTTCCTGGACTGTTGTGAGACTGGCAGACCACCGATTACGGTATCATCGGGGTCAAGCATCGATTCCTGGCTGGAGGGTGGTCGTCTTATAGCCGTTAGCTGACTATTTAAGACCATGCTGGCGATGGGGCTCATATCCCCAATAGTACGGTCCTCCACACCGACATTCAAATCCGTGTTGGTCTCGCTGGGGGCATCTAATATGGTCTCAACTTTCATGGGGTCAACTACCTGCCCAATTGTCCTGTCGTCGAGTGTTGCCAGTGTACGTTTGTTTCTTCTTTTATCATGTTGTTCCTGCCTTTGCTCTTTAGTCAGGTCCCTCAAAAGAATTACCCTACGGAGATGTTCTTCAGCTTTTGCTGATATTTTTCTAGCATTCTCTAGAAGAGACTTCCTTTGGTTCCGGCTGCCCAACTTTGCTATAATTTTTTGTGAGACCTTACTTTTTAACAACTAAAGACGCATCCTGCTCCAAAATTTGACTGCCTTGCATTTTGATTTTGATTTAGAATTACTTTTATTTGGTGATACTCAACTTTCGGTAGAAATCAATACAAACATTTTTAGACATCAAATCCATCAACAGGTTTTGATAATTATTATCATCTTTACTTATTTTTATTTATATGTGTACGTTGTTATATATGTTTAAGAAATTGCATTTCATTAATTTGCCTGATTTCTTTGTTATATTGATTTTCTTCATTATGAAATTAATATACCAGGCTGCATGTCATGGAATTTGTATAATCTATAATTTATTCAAATGCGGATCCCATTCACAGTTTACACGATTCCTGTTCTATGTAGCCCCTATATCTATATAAGCTATTGTACCACATGGCGATTTTCATTCAAAGGCATTTGATCACTTTGACGCAGTGATAAAACGCCGTCTAAGAAATTAAAACGGCGCTTTTTCGCGACGGCAAGCCATTTTGTGAGATAGAATGTTGTTAAATCGACCTTTAGCGTTAAGAGAATACAACGGCGATTTGATGTTGGGTTTTTTTTTGCAACGACAAAACACTTTGTCGTGGCGACATTTAAAGCGCTCTTTCATAAAAAAAACAGAAGACGCTTTTTGCCTTTTCACGTTACGCTAAAATGCTGCAAAGTGCTTTTTAAGAAATATTAATAAACGTCGCTTTTTTGCTTTGATTACAAAATTCTTTACGACAGTCGAAAAAGCAGAAGATTAGTAATTCTTGCGCACATATTTGGTTTTAATTTCGATGTATTCTTTAACAATATTAACTTTATTTAAGGGAAATTGGCTCTTATATATATCATCGGGTTACCGGTTTCCGCGCACTTAAGAAGCATCCGCGATTTCGTACTCATATCGGCAGAAAACAGTTGAAATTACGGAAGACTGTCATAAACATGTATACAATCTACTAAAGGAAACAAAAAACTAGCAACATAAAACTGTATTTTAAAAAAATCAGAACACAGCAATTTTTAGCAAATTTCTCCCGTCGGAAGTAGCCGTCATATGTTTCCGTGTGTCTACTTTGATTTAATGTTCGAAGAAAGATAACTCGAATACACTAAAAAGAAATTCTTTACAGTGACCTGAAAGAACAAAAGCTTCGTTTGGAATAAAAAATATCTTTGATTGTCAAATTAATTATCAAAACAACTTTTTTTAAATTTCACATTTTTACTTGATTTTTCAAGATGTCAAATTGAACGAATTCATGTAATTTTATAAATTTATTTATTATATATATTTAGTTATAATATAGAATCTGTTATTATTATTTTCTCTGCAGTTTTATATCGGTTTTGGTTGATGGTAAGTTATTTCTCATTTTGTTCTGTTTAAAATTGGTTAAAATTGGAAGTTCATTGCATTACAAGGTTTACGTTTTATTGAAAATCGGCGAGGAGATGTGGCCTCATTTGCATAAGACATTTTCGTACGTTTGTCAGACTACAAAAAAGACCGGTTCATGAATGAAATATATCACCGTTTTTTCAGGTATGGGTTCATTTTGAGAAAGATAAAAAGTGCATTAAGCAAAACTGCATATTTATGCGTGTTTTTGTAATCGGTGATTATTTCTTTTTTTTCCGGACGAGCTTCCGGTAATTTTTGGAGTCAGTTTACAGACGATGGCCAAACGTCTGAAATATCCTTGTGTTGTGTCCAGCAGGTTACGTAGTTACGAGATATAGCTTGATAAAATGGCTGCGCGGAAATACATAACGCGCGGAAACTGGTGACAAGACGATAATTGCTTTATCGTCGCGTTTAACTCCACATATTTTGTAGACGCTTTTGTTTGGTGCGTTAGATCCATTTAACACATTATAGTGTCATTCGTTGAAAATAAGGATTTCTATATCTTAAAAGGAAGAATACAATGCGAAACCACCTGAACGACTACTAGTTCCTGACTATGAGAAAGGGTATGGTTTTCTTTACGGAAAGTACGGTAAAAATAGTCCTCAGTATACCCGACCCGTCTCTTCAAAACATTTGAATGATTAAGATTTGTCATTCAAGCGCTTAACAGCTGACTACCGCCAGATTTGAAGTACCACCATGTTCAGTGTTTGTAATCTTCATTTAAGAAATTGATGTAGTATTTATTCATAGATGAACATTGTCCTCGTCATTATCTACACACTTGTCTATGTCAGGAATAACGTTCAAGCCATGTAACGATCTGCAGTCAAAGTGAAAACAACATCGTGCTTTCTGTTACACTGATAGCCGTGATAGGCCTAAACGTCTTTGAATCAGGTACACGCTACATTATTGCCCAATCTAAAGATAAAGTACTTTGCATATCATCCATATGCTTTCATACGTCGATGTCCCATCTACATTAAGAATTAATCTCTACTATCAGGTTAGGGAAAACCGCAACTTGCGTATACTACGCAAACTCGCCTATTATACGCCAGTTGGAGTATGGATTTGTTACTAAAAATAACCCAAATCGCTTTAACAGTAACTTTTGCAAGATATTATTAAAAATCGCATTAATTTACGACTAGGTAAATAATATTTTGCTAAAAAATGTTTACTGAAAGCGTTGGCTACTTAGAAACTTGATGTAACTTTACGGGAAATATTGCATCTATTTTTGGTTCTTTCCGACATGTAAATAAAGTTTATTTTTGCATTTGTATTATGTTTCATGACTGAATAAATGCGACATGGACAAACAGTTTGAAAAAGTTATGATTCAAGTCATTTTGGCTATTTTTAGTAACAAATCCATAACCCTATTGGCGTATAATAGGCGAATTTGCGTATAATACCCAAATTAGTGGTTTTTCCCGACCTGACCATTAGCCCCTATTTTTCAAAGGAAACCGAATATTGAAAATGACCCTGTTCTGTTGTTAACAGGCTGACCCTCTAGCAGTGTTCTTAGCAAGTTTTGAAACAGGTGGTTGACTTTGAAATAATTCTCAATACTATAGCCTGTTGAATGGGCCCATGCTATAATGTTGACCTATACATATTCTACACAAAGGCTGCTTCCATGTTGACGAACATCTACTTTTGACCACAACCGACTTTTTGAGATTTAATACTACCAGACAGAAACAATGCCTGCCAAGAATAGAGAATTAATACAGGGTGTATGTGAGACCTAAGAGATGGAACTTTGGCAGTGATAATTCTACATAGGAGTCCTGAGCTCTAGAACTGTAATTTAACATTGTCGGAACCATGATTTTAGCATACAGCAGCTAGAAAAGGAAACATGAAAATAAAATGTTGAATTGACTGATCATTGCTTTGGTACCAAAAATATTAAAGCATGTGATGTATCAATGCTGTTATAGGTATGCTGTTATGAAACCATGCCAGGTGACTGTCAGCATCAAACAGACTTTTTATAAAATGAAAGGATTATTGAAATGCATATACATTAGATGTACGTTGCATCGGGGAAGTGTTTAAAACTTATTTGGATGTATATAAACCATAAGGATAAGTGGAATTAAGTGGAGTGTTTTTTTTGTTGAGACCATGCATGGTCAGGCCACACTTTCTTAATTCTGTTGGTATTATGTAAACATCTAATATAAGAAAAGATCTCAAAATGCAAACTTGTGTCTTTATTATTTTATAATTACCCCTTTTCTTTAGGGTCCGTTCCCTCAAACAGTTGCTGAATGGAACAGAAACCTCAAAAATGGCTCCTGATAATTTACTTATCATTCATTCAACAATCCTGAGACCCCCTCCTGTAAATCTTTCAAATCTACTCTCTTATTAAGCCTTACTACATTATTTATTGAGTGTAAATTAGACAAAATTATGTCCATTTATTAATCTGTTATATATTACAATTTAATCTGGACAAATTGCCCAAAAAAATAAAGATAATTATAAGAAGGTGTGTTTTATTGTACACTCAATCATCTTTTTCTCTCGCAGAAGCACCTACATTATGTCCTCTGTTACGATGGACCAGGTACCTGAGCTAGATGATGCACCCTCTGGTTCCTCAGTAACCACTCCAGTCTACCACATTGAAATCTGCCAAAGCCCATCTAGGTAAGTATATTATATAAGGTTTGAACGTCTTTGTTGTGACATAACTCGGGGATGCACAGGAAAGGTGTAATACCGCGCGGCACAGTACTCCTAAAATTAAGCTGATGTGTTCATAGCCATGCCATAGGAACTTACCGGCATATATGATTCCCTTTTTGTATTTAACCCCTTATATTTACACATATCTCTAAGCAATGTCCTGGTATATATTGAACTGTATCAAAAGTATGTGCAAATTAGACTTATGTACATCACATTGATCATACTAATTTCTCCCAGTATTCCATCCCAAATCACTAAATGGTAGGGTATGGTGATAGATATTGGTATCCATACAATACAGCATGTATAATAAATAGGGTATGTTTTATTGTAACGCTATCAAATACCATCTTATTAGCCCCCCACCGGTTACCGGGGGGGACTACATGTATAAGTTTGCACTCCGTCCTTCCAAGAAGTTTGTTCCGGACATATCTGCTCTACTGTTTGACCTGGAGTAACCAGATTTGGTGTACAAAGACATCTTTGGATGGCAGAGTGCAAAAAGAAGGTTACTATGACCTCACTGTAACCTATGCTTTGACCATTGACCTTAACTTTTGAAAAAGTGAGTCCGTGGCATACCTTCTATGCTATTTCACCTGGAGTAACCAGATTTGGAGTACAAGAACATCTTGGGATGGTGGAGTGCAGATTGCAAGAAGAAGGTCACTGTGACCTTAGACCTTTACTTTTGAAAATGCTCATTCGGGGCATATCTTCTATACTATTTCACCTGGAGTAACCAGATTTTGTGTACAAGGACATCTTGAGATGGCAGAGTGCAAGAATTAGGTCACTGTGACCTATGACTTGACCTTTGACCTTTAATTTTGAAAAAGTTTGTCCGGGGCATATCTTTTGTACTTTTTCACCTTGAGTAACCAGATTTGGTGTATACTATAAGGACATCTAGGGATGATGGGTTTGTAAAATTCATTACCGGTGGGGAACTATGGATTGCCTTGCAATACTTTGCCTTGTCATAATTAGCTTTCCAAAATAAAAATACATGTACTGATAATTGCATAAAAATGACAAGCAGTTTACTTAAAGTCTGGTCACCTTCCCAAACTCACTATGGAAAATAGAAAATTCAACGGAAAAATCTGAGAAAAGTGATTGATGTAATCAATATATATGTCACTTTGTGTCTCACATTTAATTCATTAAATATGAAATTTCACATTAAAATATAACAAATTCATATAATTTTAAATTTTTATCAATTAGCACAGCAAAAGGAAATATCATAAAGGAACATGTACTTGGCCTACTACACAGACAGAAGGTTGCCTATGGTGATTTTGTTCTGACAGAATTTGATGATCCGTTCCTACATGAACATGTCAAGTCAGTAGCGCTTTGTGATTCTGACCTCAGTGGCTCAAATAGACAGGTAATATATACATAACTAAAAATTATAGGATGGTTAGTCGTATCACATGTGTATGCATGTACAACTAAAACACACATGGTAATGAGTAGGGGAAAACATTGCCAGTTGTGACCTGTTGTATTAACAGGCAATATAGGTTTAAATAATATATACCTATAGGCAAACCACATGTATATAATCGATGTCTCTCTCTCTATATATATAGACATTTAACTTGTATATATTTCATGTCTAAACACAATAGACCTGTAAAGTAACTGATGTCCAAAGAAAATATATCTATGAGTTACTATAAATTACCTATGTCCACAGACAAAAGACCTATAACTATTTGATGTTCCCAGATGATGGACTGAAAAAATGGATATCCACAGGCAATAGACTTAAAATAATTGATGTCAGTCAGAAAATAGTCTTAAAATATTTGTTGTCCACAGACAATAGATTAGACCTTTATGATAACTTTGTCCACAGACGATAGATTAGACCTTTATGATAACTTTGGCCACAGACAATAGATTAGACCTTTATGATAGCTTTGTCCACAGACAATAGATTAGACCTTTATGATAGCTTTGTCCACAGACAATAGATTAGACCTTTATGATAGCTTTGTCCACAGACAATAGATTAGACATTTATGATAACTTTGTCCACAGACAATAGATTAGACCTTTATGATAACTTTGGCCACAGACAATAGATTAGACCTTTATGATAACTTTGGCCACAGACAATAGATTAGACCTTTATGATAATTTTGTCCACAGTCGATAGATTAGACCTATATGATAACTTTGTCCACAGACGATAGATTAGACATTTATGAT